TATATATATATATATATATGCTTTAATTATTAAACCATTTAATTACGCTCATCATTTAATGTGATTATTTACCTTTATGAGCTATTTTCTTCAGTGTTATTGTATTTTTTTTATTGAGCTAAGTTGTTTTTCAAGTGCTTGGTGCTGTAACTCAGTCATTTCCCAGTCTTTTTGGATGAATAAAGTATTTATTTTGAGTTTATAATTGGCTCTCTTTTCACTCATCACATTTTAATCAGTTTCTATAATGACACTAGAGCATCATAAATATGATGTTGTACGGGCAACACCAACACAGTTGATGTCAGTGGTGGAAAAACATACAAACATCATGACTTTGCATGCGTCTAAAGGCTTAGTCAGTCCAAAACATTGGGAGAGGGTGGTGAAAACACTTGATTGCTGGTATGCAATACCAAGCCACAAATATTTCATCCAAATTAAAATCCTAAAGTTGTAATGCAGCTGTTCTGAGTCAGTGGGGTAGATGCGCTCGCACACACACACGCACACATGCATACGTGGTATAAATATTTTGATTTCAAACCGAATGCATGATTTAAGTACAACATAAAAGATTTGCATATAAGTAATGGACTATGTGCAAACTAAATATGAAACTTTTTTTTTGTGATGTGTAACTCGGTACACAAATCTTGTTACACACTAAACACAGTTCACCCTTACAGTGAAGATATACCGAAATGGACTGTTCAAAAAAATAAAGTAACAGTTTTTAATCAGAGTATAGCATCAAGTCAGTTAAACGTCTGGAAATATGATCTGATCAGTTAAGTACCACAGGGAGTTGGTAATCAACCCCCAAAACAAGGAATGGTTTTACAGGTGGAGGTCACTGACATTTTTTTACCTCTTGGTCTTTTCTGACAGTTGGACATAACCGTAGGTCCTTAACCTGTCAGCAGGACTGGCATTTGGTCCTTTTGTGCAAGGGGGACAGAGTGAGCAGTGTTAAAGCCCTACAAAATGACCTTCAGCAGGCCACTGTTGTGAATGTGTCTGACCTCTAGTGTGCCGTGTGCTCACTGTCCAGCACTGTAGAGCTCGATTGGCATTGAACATACAATACCAGAACTGATAGGTCTACCACTGGCGCCCTGTTCTTTTCACAGAGCAGATTCACCCTGAGCACATGCGACAGATGTGAAAGGGTCTGCAGAAGCTATGGAGAATGCCTGCCACTAATGTTGTTCACCGTGACCGATTTGGTGGTGGAGAGGCATATCCATGGAGGCATGCACAGAACCCTACAGGGTAGCCAACAGCACCCAGACTGCCAGTAGGTATCAGGATGAAATCCTTGGAACTATTGTCAGACTCTACACTGGTGCAGTGGGTCTTGGGTTCCTCTTGGTGCACGACAATGCCCGGTCCCATATAGGGAAGTAAAGTAAAGTGTAAAGTGTGCATGTTAGTCCCCATAGGGAAATAGTTCCTCTGCATTTAACCCATTC